TGGCAAGCGAGGGAAAATGTGGGACTATCTCTCATTTGTTGCTGCAAGTCATAATATGCCTTGGTTGATTGCCGGGGATTTTAATGAGTTACTTTCTGCTGATGAGAAGTTTGGTGGAGTTTTAGAGTGCAAATCTAAAGGTTTTAGAAACTGGGTTGATGATAATGAGATGATTGATTTGGGTTATTCTGGACCTAAATTTACATGGAATAATAAGAGAGTCTATGCAAGGCTAGATCGAGCTATTTGTAATATGCAATGGAGAAGGTTATTCCCTGAGGCTAATGTTCAGCATTTGCCTAGGACTACCTCTGATCACAATCCAATTAAGATTAAGTTGAGCTCTCATTTTGTTGCTTCTCCGCACTTAAGGCCGTTTAGGTTTGAAGCAATGTGGATGCAGCATGAACAATTCAATGAGTTTATTTCTGATGTTTGGGGACAAGCTGCTGGATCAGCCTTGGACAAAACTTATCAGTTGGTTCAGCCGCTAAAAGATTGGAATGTTAATGTTTTTGGACATGTTAAGAAGCGGAAGGCCTGTTTGTTGGCTCGTCTTAATGGTATTCAAAAAGCTTTGTGCAGGGGCTCAAATACTTTTTTGAGTAAATTGGAAATTTCTTTGATTGAGGAGTATAATTGTGTGTTGGAGCAAGAGGCTATGTTATGGAAACAAAAATCCAGATTACAGTGGCTTCAGGAAGGTGATCGAAACACCAAATTCTTTCATCTTACTACTATTATTAGGCGGCGGAGGAATAAAATAGAGAGATTAAAGAATAATGAGGGGGTTTGGGTTGAGGAAGCTCAAGACATTAAAGGTTTGGCTATGGCATATTTTGAGCAGTTGTTTTCTCAAGAATTTGTGGAGCACAGAGATCTGACTTTACCTAAGTTGTTCCCTGTTATTGATTCGGCTGATTTGGAGTTGCTTGAGAAGAATATTGACATGGCTGAGATTAAGCGAAGTTTGTTTGGGATTGGAGGTTTGAAAGCTCCTGGTGTAGATGGGTTCCCAGCTTGTTTCTATCAAGCTCAATGGAATAAATGTGCTGATGATATTTTCGCTTTGGTGACTCAAGCTTTTCAGAATTGCAGCATCCCTGACAGGCTGAATTACACTTTAATAACTTTGGTGCCTAAAGTGCAAAGCCCCCAATCTATGGTTCAGTTTAGGCCTATTAGCTTATGCTCTACTCTGTACAAGGTCATCTCTAAAATC